TCGGCACGCTGCAGGAGCTAGGCAGCCGAGGAGGGGGCAAGTGCAGGATGCAGGTGGCAAGGCAAGGCAGATACCCAGAGAGCTAAGAGCACTCATGCAATGAAGAGGAAGGGAGCAAGAGAGAGAAAACAGGGCGGAACCAGGAGCAAGCAAGAGCCGGGCAACCAGAAGACAGGGCAAGACAAGAAGTGGCAAGGTAGAGAGAGAATTCCGACAGCATCGATACTGTTCACACTGAAGAAAGACGGAGGGTTTCGCATGTGTATCGACTACCGCGCACTGAACAGGGTAACAGTAAAATCGCGATACCCCATCCCCCGCGCCGCGAACTGATTGACCAACTGCGAACAGCTAGGGTGTTTTCGAAAAGTGACTTACGCGGCGGTTATCACCAGATCCGAGTCATACCGACGGACTGCGCCAAAACATCTTTTAGAACTAGATATGGGTCCTTCGAGTACACAGTGATGCCATTCGGGCTGACCAACGCACCCGCGACATTCCAGGTGACCATGAACGAGGCATTCACACCACTCTTAGATAAATGCGTCATCGTGTACCTCGACGACATCTTAGTTTCAGCCGGGACAAGCAGCAGCACTTAGCAGACCTGGAAGCAGTATTTAAAGTTTTAGACGAGCATCGCCTACTGACCAAGGGTTCGAAGTGCCAGTTTTTTCAGGACAGGCTGGAATTTATGGGGCACGTGATTTTGGAATCTGAGGTTGAAATAGACCCGAAAAAACTAGATACCGTCAAGGCATGGCACCCCCCGACAAACATCACGGATCTGCAAAGTTTTTTAGGGTTCGTTAAATATGTGCGTCGGTTCGTCCCCGATATGGCATGGTTAACTGCCCCACTGACGGATTTGCTGCGGAAGGAGGCCGCTTTTACGTGGGGGAGAAAGATCATGCTGCCTTCTCTGCCCTAAAAAATGTTATCTGTTCACCGCCCGTGCTACGCATCGCCGACCCACACCGCCCATTTGAAGTGGTTACCGACGTCAGCGACATCGCCATTGGAGCCGTACTGCTACATGATTTTGGCAACGGATTACAGCCCATCGCATACGAGTCACGAAAACTGCATCCGCCCGAGAAGAATTACCCGATACACGATCGCGAAATGCTCACGATCGTGAACGCCTTCAAAGTGTGGCGCTGTTACTTGACTGGCGCAGACGTGACAGTACGGACAGACCACAGTTCACTACATTACCTTCGCGCGCAACCCCACCTCAACCCACGACAGGCCCGCTGGCTCGACTTCCTCGAGTCGAATCTCCACTACACGGTCACCTACAAAAAAGGAGCCTCAAACATCGCCGACGCACTGATTTGCCCGACTGCCCAAATACACGCGATACTAATCGCCCAAAACAACCCACTGCTCACAGGATTATTCACCTATGGATATCAAACAGACCCGTTCTTCACAGGAGGAAACTTGCAACAGTTGGCAGGAGCAAAGGGGGTTTATTACGTAAAAGCCGGCACCGACCGAATCTGGGTACCGGGGATATACACTGCTACGGGAATAAATGCTACAGGAGGCACATGACGGAGTAACCTCAGGACATTTCGGGGTCGAAAAAAACACGACAGCAGCTGCAGCGATATTACTACTGGCCCGAGTGTCAGAACTAGCAGTAGAAACAAGAATGAAGAAAGGAGGGGTTTCACTAGCAGCAGTTGGGATACATATAGCAAACCCTAACTGGGCTGTACTCGCTATAGAGCACCCCACTACAGGCTAGATAATAACATTCTGACACCGAGATGCTGACCGACGTGCAACGACACGTGACATCGTGTCCCACCTGCCAACTCAGGAAGTCGCCACGACAACGACCGGCAGGGCAGTTGCAGCCGATACCACCCCCAGAGCGTGCTTGGTAGCAGATGACGATGGACTTCGTCACGGGGTTACCAGCCGGAGCAAGTGGGAACGATGCATCCTGGTCGTCGTCGACCGGCTGACGAAGATGGCACATTTCGCAGCCTGCAAGAAAACACCAAAGATACAGCCCGACTATTCATCTCCACCGTCGTTCGACTGCACGGGATACAAGTGGCGATCATCAGCGACCGCGACACGAAAATCACCAGCAACTTCTGGAGGAACCTGTGGCAGCAGTTCGGCATGCGACTACAATTCAGCTCATCGTACCACCCCGAAACTGACGGTCAGACAGAACGGACCAATCAGACCATGGAGCAATTAATCCAAGCCACGTGCGACGACCCGGCAACATAAGAACAGCAACACTCATTGAGTTTGCGTACAACAACTCCACGTCAGCCACGACGTAGCAGTCACCATTCTACCTCAACTACGGACAGAACCCTACACTACCCATAATGCCGAACCCCGACAACCCAGTACCACGTGCGCAACATTTCGCCGAAATTTTACTGGAAGCCCGGACCCGAGCAGCAGACGCAATAAAAAAATCAAACCTCATCGCTAAGCGCAACGCCGATCGCCATCGCCGCCCCGTAACTTACCAGCCCGACGACCTCGTACTTCTCGACACCCAGAATCTCCGCTTGTCCATAACCCCAAAACTTCGCCCCCGATATTGTCGGCCATTCCGCATCAGCCACTTGATCACACCCGTCACCGCCCACCTCCTCTTGCCCGCCGACTGGTACGTCAGCCCATCTTTCCACGTCAGCTTCCTCCGCCCCTACGTCCCATCGATGAGTCAACTGCCACGCAGCCGCCCATCCAGCATGACGCGACCACCCACCGAGCCCGATATCACCCCCGAAAAAATATTGAGTCACCGAGTTCGAGACCCACATGGAGCCCGCATAATCCAGTTCCTGATTCGCAGGAAAGACCTCACCCCCACGGAAGGCAACTCGGTGCCCCTGGATAAAATTGATAGCCACCCCGTCCTCACCGAGTACCTGCGCAGCCGCAATTTTCGGGACGTACACGCACTCTCGTAAGGGGAGCCTCCTTAGGGAGGGGGGTAGTGTAAGGAAAAATAGTTTTCCTTACTTCGCGCCCCTGCTTGACGCGTACACGGCTGTTCCCGCCAGCAGCACCTTACAGTGACACGTTACCACTCGCGACACTCGCCTCGATAACTGTTCCCGCCACTGTTCACATCGCGACCCAACCTCACGGTTCGGTTGGTAACCCGCGCTCCGGCCCTCCGCCTCGACAATTCCCAACCTCACCGCCAGGCCCGTGGTGCACCACATCCTCGCGCATTACGTTACCACGATAGGCTTCGCTATATATTGTTCGCTCATTCCTTCGCTGATTGTATTCTTGCCTCGATAGTGCAATCCTTGTTTGCTCACTCAATTGCACTCGTAACAATAGGCCTATAATTTAATTAATATGGCGCCCTCATCGCGCGCCCATCACTGCACCCGTCGCGCCCCCCGTCGCGCGCCCGTCGCTGGACCCATCTCGACGGTCGCGACTGCGATGTGGTTCACATTTACGGTTAAAAAAATAGGGGCGATGGCGTCCATTGCGGCCCCTAGCGCGGCTTCTCGTGCCCCCCCATCCTGGCTCCCATCCCTGCCCCGTCGCGCCCGTCGCCACCCTCGTCACAGCTCCCATCGCACCAGTCGCAACCCAGGCCTACCACCGCGCTCCTCCTGTGGGGGGAGGTGGAAGGGGTGGCGGCCAGTTGGTGTGAGGGGGGGGGTAAGGGGGGGGGGGGGGGGGTGGAAGGGGTGGCGGTCAGTGGGGGGGTAGTGTTGGGGGTGGCGGTCAATGGGGGGGTTGTGTTGGGGGTGGCGGTCAGTCGGGGTGAGGCAAAGGGGGTGACGGCCGTGGGCCTGCACCGTCAGCTGCCACCCCCCATGCTGCCCTGTGCGACTGCCTCTGTGTGGGGGGGCTCAAGGGGTTGCGGGAGCCTGCAGAGCCGACCCTCCGTGCCGAACGCCACCCGAAATGCCGCCCTGTCGCGCCTGCCTCTGTGGGGGGGAGGTTGAGGGGGTGGCGGGAGTGAGCCAGCACCGTCAGCCGCAGCCCAACCTGCCCCCCTTTGCCGTGCCTACCCGTTGTGGGTGAAGGGGGGGAAGTTGAGGGGGTGGTGGGAGCGAGTCTACAGCACTAGTCGTCACTGCACCTGTCAACGCCCCTCCTCCTCCTCCTCCTCCTCCTCCTCCTCCTCCTCCTCTCTCTCCCTTCCGCTGCACTCTCTCCTCCTCCTCACTTGCTCTCTTCCTTTTCGCTGCGTTTGCTCCTCTTCCTACTAGCGTTCGTTGTCTTCCGTTTTGCTGGGCGTCTATCGCTTGCCTGCTGCACGTCAGTTGCTAAGCGCCAGTCACTGAACGATAATCGCTGCCCACCTGCCTGCTCACCTACCCTGTCTTCTGCGTGTCAATTGCTGAACGGTAGTTGCCAAGGCAACAGCCATCATATCTTTCTCGTTGCATGCAGTTAAGGGGGTGTGTCATAATACTGTCAAACTGTAATTGTATGCTCTAGGCTGTAGTGGGGCATACTCTAGTGAGTACAACCCCTTAGGGTTTGCTACTTGTACTCACAACCCTAATCAATCCACACTTCACTTCTTAACATGGTTTCAGAGTAGGTCCCGGTTAGGACCGGTTTTTTTAGGGCCCACCGTTAGTTCCGCTTGTTCCTGCCCGTAGCGCCCTTGCGCTGTCCTGCCCTGCCTGAAGAGAGTCGCGCTGCCCTGCTGCCACGCGCTCTGCCTGCCCTAGCACACTGCCTGCTGCACGCGCTGCTTGCCTTGGCGCGTCGCGCTGCCCTGCTCGCGCTGCCTGCAAGCGCGCTGCCCGTGCTCACTACGCGCCCTGCCTGCACGCTGCAACTGCTGCTCGCGCGCTGCCCCTACTGCTCGCACGCTGCATTTGCTGCCCGCGCGCTGCTCGCCCTGCCCGCGAACTGCCCGCGCGCTGCTGCGCCTGAGCTACTGCTGCCGCACGCGCTGCTGCGCTGTGCCCTGCCAACCGCCCTGTCGCGCGCTGCTGCTGCTGCTGCTGCATACGCTGCTGCTGCTACGCAGCTCCTGCCCACTGCGCTGCCACTGCTGCGCCTGAGCCTCTGCTGCGCCTGAACTGCTGCTGTCGCGCGCACTGCGCTGCTGCTGTCGCGCGCACTGCGCTGCTGCTGCTGTTGCGCCTGAGCTGCTGCTGCACGCGCTGCTGCGCTGTGCTCGCCGAGCCGCGCCGCGCCGCGCCGCCCTGCCCAAACCGCGCCGCCCTGCCCGAGCCGCGCCGCCCTGCCCGAGCTACGCCGCCCTGCCCGAACCGCACTGCCCTGCCCGAGCCGCCCTGCCTTGCCCCTGCAGAGCTGCACTGCCTTATTGCTGATGCTGCTGCTCCTACTGCTGCTACTGCTACTGCTTCTGCTACTGTTTTGCTGCTATGGCAACCCCTACTGTTCTCACCTTTGACGGAGAGGGTCACCCGGTAGACTTCGGATCCTGGTTAGAGGATCTTCACTGGTACCTGCAGAGCCAGACTAGGGAGGATGTCTCGCTTTTTTAGCATACCTCTGGGACCCTAGACGCCCCTGCTGCCACAGTCCTGGTACCCATGTAGACCAGTCCAGGTGGGCGTCTCGTGACGCTTCTGCTGCTCTTTCTGTCCGTAGCCACCTTCCACTAGACCAGCGCTCCCACTTTCGCCAGCTTAAGACGGCCAAGGCGCTTTACGACGCTGTAGTCACACGCTACTCTTCCCCGTCGTCTGCCACTATAGGCCGCCTAGCGCTGTCGTTCCTCTTTCCCGAGCTATCGGACTTCACCACTGTAGCCGACCTCATAACTCACCTGCGCTCCCTTGAGACCCGCTACGTTGCCGACCTCGAGCCCACCTTTAGGGCTGAGAACAAGCCACCTATTTATCTCACCCTCTACTTTCTCACGACCCGCCTCCCTGACTCCCTTCGTGCTGTACGCGACCACTTCCTCGCTCTAGACCCCACGAAGATCACCCTCGACACGTTCGAGTCCCGTCTCTTAGAGGCGGAGTCCGCTGCCCTAGCTGTCGCTGCCTCTCGTGGCACTCCCCACCCCTCTGTCTTTGAGGGGTGCTCCCCCTCCCTGCTCGCGTCGTCTGTTGCCTCTGCTGCTGCTGTTGACCTCTTCGGTGCTGAGGAGGTCGGTGATGCTTCTGCTCCTAGTGGGAAGCGCCGCAGCGGCAAGGGAAAAGGTGACAAGGGTGGGGGTGGCGGGGGTGGTGGGGGTTGCGGGGGCAGCGGTAGTGGCGGTGGAGGTGGTGGGGGAGGAGGAGGTGGAGGCGGCAGGGGAGGAGGCGGGGGTGGAGGGAGCAGTGGGGGTGGTGGCGGGGGTGGGGGTGGGGGTGGCACTAGGGGCGGAGCTGGAGGAGGAGGGGCTGGAGGTCCGGCCACTCGTGGTGCAGCGGGGGGTGGAGGTGGCTCTGGGGGTGGCCAGCAGCAGCAGCCGAGCCGCCAGGCGCAGCTCTCGCCGCAGCAGCTTCGTGAGTGGGCGATCCGTCGTGGCAGCTCAGGTGGCCCACCTCGCTGCGGGTACGTCCGTCGCACAGGTCAGCCCGGAGCGACCTGCACTCGCACCGACCACACCGAGTCTCGTTGCTTCTTTCGCCTCGACGATCTGTATCGTGCGGAGCATGGTGAGCACATGAAGACTCCTGACTGACTCGCTTTGCTGAAGCAGGACATAGATGTTTTTGTTTGTGACTGGGCTGTGATCCATGCTGACATGTATGCGATGTATGCTGCTTCTGCTAGTGTTGAGGAGGACTGTTACTTGAGGAGTTACTTCTGCTAGTCTTGGTGCTTTTGACTCAGCTAGCACAGGTGCAGAGCCTGAGGAGGCCTTGCACACTACTACTCTCGACTCAGGCGCGTCTCGTTGCTTCTTCCGCGACAGCACCACAGTCACACCGCTCACAGTCCTTTTCCCTGTCACACTGGCCGACCCCTCTGGGGGCCTGGTAGTCGCGCGTGGGGCCACTGTTCTCCCTTGTCCGGCGGCCCCTTCCGGCCTCCTTACAGGTCTCCACCTCCCCTCGTTCGCTAAGAACTTGGTGGCTACCTCTGTCATCCTGGACCAGTGGGTCACTGTTACCCAGCCTGGAGGCGAGCTAGAGGCGATCTGTACGGACTCCGCACTGGTGAGCACCTCGCCACGTTCACTCAGAGGCCTGGTCTGGCCTGTACACACTGACCACTGAGTCTGCACTGGTAGCTGAGTCAGGTCAGGTAGCTGCGTCGGTTGAGGTCGCCTCGTCTTGTTCGTGTCGTCTCCTCACACACCAGACTCTCCTCTGGCACCACCGTCTTGGCCACCCCTCCTTGCCACGCCTGCGTGGCATGCACTCCTGTCTCCTTGTGTCTGGTCTCCCCAGGTCCCTGCCCCCGCTCCTGAGGTCGCTTGCACCGCCCTGCCTTCCCTGCGTCAAAGGGCGGCAGCGCGCCGCTCCTCACTCCTCCTCGTTTCCTCCCACCACTGCTCCTCTGCAGACCCTGCACATGGACGTGTGGGGCCCCGCCCGCGTCACTGGCCAGGGTGGCGAGCGCTACTTTTTGCTGGTTGTCGACGACTACACTACACCACGGTCTTCCCCTTGCAGAGCAAGGCGGATGTCCGCGGTGTCTTGATCGCGCTCGGTTCCAGCAGGACCTCCCTTTCCTGCAGCTGCACTCTGACCGAGGTGGTGAGTTTTGCTCCCACCTCCTCGAGGACTTCTGTGGTGCTGAGGGCATCGTCCAGTTGTACATTCTTCCGGCCTCTCCACAACAGAATGGGATTGCCGAGTGCCGCATTGGTCTTGTCATGGAGGTTGCTCGCACCTCCATGATCCCTGCAGCTGCTCCCCATTTTCTGTGGCCGTTTGCGGTCCGATACGCCGCTGAGCAGCTCAACCTCTGGCCCCGTGTCTCCCACCCGGAGACCTCCCCCACTTTGCGGTGGACGGGCGAGGTTGGTGATGCGTCGGCGTTTTGGGTCTAGGGTTCCCTCTCTATTGTCCGCGATTTGCCTGCGGGCAAGCTCTCACCACGCACTCTTCGGTGCGTGTTCCTTGGCTTTCCAACCAACGCACCGCCCTGGCAGTTTTACCACCCGGGCTCTCGTCGTGTGCTGTCCTCCCGCGACGTCACCTTTGACGAGTCCGTTTGCTTCTACCGTCTTCACCCCCACCGCAGTTCCCCGGTACCCCTCCCGCCTCTCTCCCTGGTGGACGACCCCCCCCCCCCCGGTAGCCCCCCTCCCTCCTCACGGTCCCGCTCCCTCAGGTGTGTCTTAGGTAGACCCACCCTCCTTGGTTGAGCCTTTGGAGGTCTCCTCAGACACCTCTGGCCCAGCTGAGGGGGGTGGCCCGACTCCTGCTGCCACCGTGACCCCTCGCCGCTCTGCACGCTTGGCGGTCCCTCCTGGTTTTCCGCCTCGACCGTCTTCACCGCCGCTGCAGCCTGTCGCTGTGGACTCTGGTGCTGCAGGAGGTGGTACCACTGGGGGTGCTGGTTCTGGGGGTGCTGATTGTCCTCTGGGTACAGGAGGTACTGGAGGTACTGGTGCTGGTGGTCCTGCTACGAGTCGGCAGGAGGCTCTCTCGTCGGAGCGGCTTCGCGAGTGGGCTGTCCAGTGGGGCAGCCCTGGTGGTGGAGCTAGCCATCTTAGAGTGAGAGGTGCTGGGACTGCTGGAGCTGGAGGTGCTGGCACCGCTGGAGCTGGAGGCTCTGCTACTGGTGGGACTGGGGTTGCTAGTGCTGGTGGCACTGGTGCACGTCGGCAGGAGACTCTCTCGTCGGAGCGGCTTCGCGAGTGGGCTGTACAGTGGGGCAGCCCTGGTGGTGGAGCTAGCCGTGCTCGCTCTCCTCGAGTTGGAGGTACTGGAGGTGCTGCTGCTGTGGGTACTTCTGCGGGCAGTCCTGGTGGTGGCGCTGGACGTGCTGGAGCTGCAGAATCTGGAGGTGCTAACCCTGGAGGTGCTAGTGCTGGTGTTCCTGGTACTGGAGGCACAAGTGCTGCTGGAGGTGCAGGTTATGGAGGTACTAGCCCTGGAGGTGCTGGTGCTGGTGTTCCTAGTACTGGAGGCACAGGTGCTGCTGGAGGTGCAGGTACTGCTGGAGGTGCTGGCACTGGAGGTACTACTGGAGGTACTGATGGAGGTACTGGAGTTAGTGGTGCTAGTCGGCAAAAGTCGCTCTCGCCGCTGCAGCTTCGCGAGTGGGCTGTTCGTTGGGGCAGTCCCGTTGGTGGAGCTGGAGGCGCTTGTTCTGGGGGTGTTGTTGCTACTGGAGCTGGAGTTTGGGGGGGTGCGACTACACCGCCGCAGCCGTCTGTGCTTCGTCACCTTCTCAGTCTCCCGCCTGCTGCTACAGAGTTCCCGGTTCCTGGTTCTACTCCTCCGTTACTGTTCCCACCGACTGACCAGTCTTAGCCACAGCTACTGCTTGGCTCCCCGCTGCCTGCTCCTGCTCCTCACACTGAGGTCACTGCGTCCCTGACTGAGCGTCGTGAGCCTGAGACTCGTGCTTCCACTCCTGAGCGTTGTGAGCCTGGGACTCGTGCTTCCACTCCTGTTCGCGGTCGTCGTGTTGTCCGTCCTCGTGCTCCAGCTGTGCCAGGCACTCACCGTATGGCACTTCGTCCTTCCTCTGTTCCACAGCGTGTTGTCCTGCCGTCTCCTCCTGCGTCTTCCTTTCCTCACGTTCCTGACCCTGAGTCAGACCTTGTCCGTGCTGACAGTCCGACTGTCACTCGTCTCCTTGCCACGGTTGTGACTGACCCTTCCTTTGAGTCTGCTGCTACGTCTGCCTTAGTTGCTGAGCTTGTTGACTTTGCTGCTTTGTGCCGCCTTGACTACGCTGCGAGTCTTGTTATTTGGTGAGCTTGCCCTTGGCTGTGACGTTCTTGAGGACAGGCAGTTTGAGCTGGAGTGCCTAGCGGCAGCTGCACCTCATCTCGCGTCCACGCTACTTTGCCCTGAGGGAGACCCGGATGCACTAGACATCCCGACCCCGCGCACTTACGCAGAGGCGATCATGGGTCCGTACTCCTCTCAGTGGCATATAGTCATGGACGCAGAGATGGCTTCGTGGAAGTCCACAGGCACCTACGTTGACAAGGTTCCCCCACCTGGGGCGAACATAGTCGATGGCATGTGGATTTTTCAGAGTGAAGCGGCCGCCGGGCTCTCTGCCTCCCTTCAAAGGCGCGTTACGTTGCACGAGGCTTCAGGCAGCGTGAGGGGGTCGACTTCTTTCAGACCTTCTCCCCCACCCCGAAGATGACCACTCTTCGGGTGCTACTGCACGTTGCAGCACAGCGCGACTACGAGCTGCACTCCCTCGACTTCTCGATAGCCTTCTTGCAGGGTAGCCTTCACGAGGCTATCTGGTTACGCCGTCCGCGTGGCTTCACTAGGTCGTTTCCTGAGGGTACCCAGTGGAGTCTTCGGTGACCAGTCTACAGCCTACCACAGGCACCCCGCGAGTGGCACGACACATTGAGGACTACACTTGCGGCTCTTGGCTTCGCTCCCTCGACTGCTGGCCCTTCCCTACTTCTGCGCACAGACACTTCTCTGCAGCCGTTCTACGTTCTCATGTACGTTGACGACTTGGTTTTTGCTACTGCTGACACTGAGGCTCTGGCCTTGGTGAAAGCGGAGCTGCAGGAGAGACACACCTGCGGTTACTTGGGTGAGCTGCGGAGCTATCTTGGCTTGCAGATCACCCGGGACAGAGCACGGCGCACCATCACCCTGACTCAGTCACACATGGTGCACCAGGTCCTTCAGTGCTTTGACTTCACGTGGTCCTCGCCACAGCCCACTCCTCTGTCTACCGGCCACTCGCTCTCAGCTCCACCTTCGGACGAGTCCATAGAGCCGAGTGGTCCGTACCCAGAGCTTGTGGGTTGCCTCATGTACCTGATGACGTGCACACGACCTGACCTCGCGTACCCTCTTAGCCTCCTGGCTCGCTACATGGCTCCCGGTAGGCATCGGAAGATGCACTGGGATGCTGCGAAGAGGGTGTTGCGTTACTTGTGCAGCACATCGGGCATGGGGCTCGTGCTTGGAGGACCGGGTTCAGTTGTTCTCACCGGTCACTCAGACGCTTCTTGGGCTGACGACCAGACGACTCACCGGTCGACACAGGGGTACAGTTTCAGCCTCGACACTGGTTCTGTCTCGTGGAGGTCCACTTGCTCTTCTTCTGTACTTAGTTCCAGCTGTGAGGCCGAGATCTACGCTGGGGCTATGGCTGCACAGGAGCTCCGCTGGCTGACCTACCTGCTGACCGACTTGGGTGAGCGGCCTCGTTCTCCTCCAGTTCTGTACGTCGACAACAAGGCCATGATTGCCTTGTGTCAGGACCAGAGACTGTAGCACAGAACGAAGCACATAGCTCTCCGTTACTTCCTCACGCGAGAGCTACAACAGCGTGGTCAGCTTTGTCTTGCTTACGTGGCCACACGGGCCAACACTACTGATGTCTTCACCAAGGCCCTTGGGTCTAGTGATCATCAGCGTTTCTGCACTACTCTTGGGCTTGTGCCCACTCTGCCTCACTTGCTTGTCTCTTGATCTTGCTCTTGTTGTACACTAATATATATGAGTATACCTACATGCTTACACTTGCTAGGTTGTGATCAGTGTACTGCTCTTGCTATTATAAACTCTGCATGTGAACTGGCCTTGTGGCCTCTTGCTTGTACTCTGAATGCGTGGTGATCTTCAGATCCACCCTGAGCTTTGCTTTGCTTTGTTCTCTTGATTGACTGGTCTTTTGACCGTTCGTTGTGTTTGCTATCCCCCACTTTGCCTATGGGGGTGTGTCAAATTGTAATTGTATGCTCTAGGCTGTAGTGGGGCATACTCTAGAGAGTACAACCCCTTAGGGTTTGCTACTTGTACTCACAACCCCAATCAATCCAGACTTCACTTCTTAACAAATATATATCTGATATATTTGTATAACTGCCTATAGGTGTGGCGTAGTTAATGGTTACAATCTTTGTTGGTGGTTCACCCCTTGCTCTTGCTCTCGATTCTATAACGTGTACTTGCGCAATACTAGAATCAACGCTATCAAGGCAGCCATGGATACTATAAGGACCTTCGGGACCATCAACGTCTACCATTTTTTATTATTATTATTCATTATATCTTAGTACACTAATATATTCACCTTGTCAAGCTCAACAAGTAGACATAAAAAAGGTGCCTACATAGAGGGCATTTCGTATGCCTTGGTCATGGCTTACGGGTGACGAGATAGTATGGTGCCTGGCAGCCACATATGTTACCTGAAGTGCTATCTAGGGTCAGTTTCTTTAGTTCTCATCGTATGAGTTTCTAAGAAACGTCGACATGCAGCAAATGGAACTTCCAAAGCACCTGTTGAAGTATCACAAGAAAAAAGTATAACTACAAGTCTATGCTCAGAATTTGCTCATGCTCAGCCACTGGGTGTTTTCTGCATGTTAGGATCAAGGACAGAGTCTATGTAGATTAGGGGACGAAATAACTCAAAATGTTGGACTAAGTTCATGGAAAAAATGTCGATTTCACAAGAAACACCGCCGACTGAAAGCTAATCGTTTGAACTTCATTAAAATCAAACTTATTGTAGCCCTACACCAGGGCTGTCGCTATCAGGGCGTTTTCCCTGCTGGCCCTTGAATTCCAGGGCAAGGTTAGCCATGAACCCTGAAATTGATGGGTTGCAAAAACTCTGGCCCTGAACCTTTTCAGGGCTGATTTCTGGCTGAATCCTGATTTGTTAAGGATAATCTTTCGGCCCTTCCCTGAAATGAAGGGGAGATTTCAGGCGAACCCTGGAATAAGAAACAGCTCAATACCCCTTCCTCCCCCCTCCCCCCCCCCCCCCACCCCACCCCCCCTCAATCTACCTGACCTCCCCATTTCAAGTTTGTGGTTGGGCCGGAACTCCAACCCAACCTCTTCGGGCTGCTTGTGCCAAACATAAATACTGTGG